AAAACCCATTCTTTATAGTTCTACAGTCACTGTCAGTAACGTAGTTGACAGTGTTACTGCCGTTTGTAGTATTTCAGTCAATACTCTCACTACCAATTGTACAAAATCCCTTCCTACTAGAAGTCAGGCTGCTAAAATTGCGTTGCCAAACCAAGGCGCTGCGAAGTGACGCAGTTGGCGTGGCCTGTAGACACTGTTTGAAGTGTAGTCGCCCCTGAGTAGACAGTAAGGATGGAACAGCAAGGAGCACGAAATATGCCGCTTAAATTGTCGCTGTCCGGCAGCTGCCATCATCCTCCACCCCACATGCACGCACGCCATTGGACGCTAACCGCATGCTGTTAGACCGCTGGCCTCTGATCTCCTAGCCTTCTCCTCCTCCTCATCCCCACCATCATCCTAGTCGTGACGCGTTTAAGGTCGCCGCGCTTCGGGTTTGTATGTATAAAGGGTGGAGGGGAGGGGGGAGGGGACACGAGGGGCAGTTGGAGGGACAAGCCAACTCCTGTGTGCTGGTGCCAGGCAGCTGCGAGTGATGGTGAACTCAGTTTGGTGACTGCGCTTCCACCGCTCATTTACAAACAAAGAATGCGCGTCTATGCCTGCATATCTGTACCCAAGCATGTACGCATATATCTACTGCCGTTGTGACTATTGCATGTTCTCCTTCATCTTAGCAACGAGACCCTGGCGTTCGTGTAGTCATCTCTATTCGCAGTACAGATACGTGGGCTTGGGTGCAGCTGACTGAAGATGGCTGATAAACCAGAAACGCGCATCGCGTTACTTGCAAGCCTCGAAGCTCGAACCCAGGAGCTTGTCGGCTAGAAGTCCAACGTCCTAACAGTCGAGCTACGTGCTTACTTGCCCGTCGGTTGTGATCAGGTGCATTAAAAGAGATCGCGGGTCTCCCTGATCGCGTTATGGTCATTCCAATCTCCCATGTTGTCAGTAGCACTCTCCATTATTTATTTCGTCTATATTACTAGCCACTGGCGAGACGAGAATGTATATAATACAGCCGGTTAATGCCGCACTACTACTGCTAATATACCCGATCGCAACCCGATCGTAGCTAGAACGGACGGGGGGGGATAAGGCAGTTAGTAAAGAAAATTTGAAATATTAATTGGAGAAAACATCCTCGTTTCTGCAGTAACACTCCCTCACTGACAATGTTTACTGTCTGCAAGTCACAGGCATGCTAAACTACAAAGGCTGCAAACTCTGCGAGAACTGTTTACTTGCTCATTCACTACCTGGAAAGCAAAATGCTGACTGAGCGCATTTACGCACTCGCTGAAGTAAACCTACCCTACGACTTCTTGCCTCGGGGCTAGCTTGCTAGCTTCCGCAAAGAAGAGCCAAGTAACTGTCTTCAAGACTTGTGTGCTGGCACATTCTTGATTGATGTCCTCAGTAGACAGTGCTAGGTTTTGATAGGCCCATGGTCAGGGTTAGATTGACAGTTCGCAACTATCGCTGACCAATCACACGAGTTGCAGGCCTTTCTTTGCCCGCACTCGCGCCTACCTCCGCAACAGACAAGTGGCATGAACCCATTGCTTCCGCCAGGTCGAAACTGACAATGAAGACCAATCCGCCTTCCATGGGCCAAATTTCGTGTTTTTTAAAAAGGTCGGTAGCGACTAAGACCTCTGTGTCT